CGCTGTCCCTCAGCTCTTCAGCTCAAGGCTAGCACTCTGCCACTTGAGCCACAGCGCCACTTCCGGCTTTTTTCTTTTTGCTTATGTGGTGCTGAGGAATAGAACCCAGGGCCTCATGTATGCAAGGCAAGCGCTCTACCACTGAGCCACCTTCCCAGCCCTATTCTGTAATTAAAAAAAAATAAACTTTAAAGCAGTGATCCTGTCGTATTTTGTGCTTTCCCCCAAGTGCTGCCATGGCTTTTGTACATCCATATCTTTAGGAGAGACTGAGAATCCTCCCACTGCCCAATTGTCATCTTCTCTAATACACACACACACACACACACACACACACACACACACACACACACATATGTATATAATTTCTATTTTTTTTTTTGTTGGGCTTTGGGTTTAAACCCTAGGCCTGGGCACTGTTCCTTAACTCTTCAGCACAAGGCAAGCATTCTACCATTTGAACCACAGCGCCACATCCAGTTTTCTGGTGGTTAACTGAAGATAAGAGCCTCATGGACTTTCTGCCTGGGCTGGCTTTGAACTGAAATCCTCAGATCTCAGCCTCCTGAGTAGCTAGGATTACAGGCGTGAGCCACCAACTCCTGGCCTTTATTGTTATTCTGAAGGAGTTGTATGGAGGGGTTATAATTCCTTAAGTCAGGTAACAAATACAATGTTTCCTGGATAATGTCACCCCTTCCTATACTTTCCCCCAGTTTCCCCCTCCTGCCCCTGCCCACAAGTTGCCTAGTTCATTTTTCACACCATGTATATTGAAAACCATGACTGTATTAGTTTACCTTCCCTGGCTTTTCTTGTGATCATGGAACAGTTTTATAGCAGATTGAGGTGATGGAATCTTTAAGACCCAAATTTCTACTCTTAAGGTGAATCTGCAACTCTAACCTGGTTGCTGTAGCTTGAGGCTGTGTTCAAGAGTTTATGAATGTCCCAGTCCATTCTGTCACCACAGCATCCACATCACCACAGGGTGGCACTCTAGCAAATACATTGACATAGTTCTGCATCTTGCTGTGGCTTTGTATGGCTGTCAATCTCATGCATACTGACTAGGAAAAGGGGGAAAGAATCAATGGAAGCTGGGCACTGGTGGCTCTCACGTGTAATCCTAGCTACTCAGGAGGCTGAGATTTGAAGATTGCAGTTTGATGCCAGCCCAAGCAGGAATGTCTGTGAGACTCTTATCTCCAATAAACTACTCAGGAAAAACCAGAAGTGGTGCTGTGGTTCAAGTGGTAGAGCACTAGCCTTGAGCAAAAGGGGCTCAGGGACAGTGTCCAGGCCCTGAGTTTAAGCCTTAAGACTGCCAAAAAACAATCATTGGAGGGGTAGAATTACAGAAGAGAAATGACCCAAAATGAACCTTAAGCAGAGTAAAATATCCAAAGGACAGACTTAGTTTGCATTCTGGCTCTTCCTCTTGAGGCCACAGGAGCTCCATAAACACACTAGTCTGGGCTTCATAGAAAGAACTTGTCTCAAAAGAAGACCCAGCAACCCAACACAATAAACAAATAAGTATAGAGGAAAAGTGTTGCTCTTCCAAGGATGATCATAAAATTCTAATCAAATGAAGACATAAGTGCACTGAGCGGTGTTGTGTTTCCCAAACAGGAAGCAAGCATTAGGCCATAAAGTCCCATGGCTGTTTGGCCAGGAGACACTAGGTCCATATTAGCTTCTGCAGTCCAGCCCTGCTTGCTCCCCTTCTTTCTGGGACCAAGCTGAGAATTCTGACAGCAACTCAACTGTGTGACTTACTAGCTGTGGGACTGTAGACCAAAGGTGGAAGGGGCCACGGATGCAGGGCATATAGCTTTATACTCTCCTGGAGGGATGCTGGTGGGTGGGAAGATGGCATATTTCCAGGTGGCAGGAGCTGGAGATCCTGGCTGAGGAACCATGCACGCACCTGTCTAGAAGCCCTGTGGACAGGACATTCAGCCACAGCACAGCAGTGAACCTACAGTGAGTGCCTAGGATGCGGGGGAGACTGTTGTTGATGGTGGAAAGTTGGCTGAGATGTCCCAGGGGGCTGGGTTCAAGTCCAGGGGGTGCAGGGAATGATCTGTAGAGTTCCACCCCACAGTCTATAGGTGGTGGATTTTTCTTCCTGAAGACTCCCCTCTCTCCCAAAATGTTCAGATGTTTGTTTGGTTTGGTTTTTCTGAGGATCTGGAATGTCAGGCTAAGGTTACAGCTGTGAACCACTCAGCGGGGAGGGTGGGTCAGAGGGTGGGCAGAGGGAGACTCCCAAGGAGCACCCTATCTAGAGTGGTGGTTTGATAGCAAGCAGCTCCAAACCCAGGGCTTTCATTCTCCTGCTTGGTTGCATCTACCCCAGAGGATGTGTCTGGTTGTGGCTCAGATGTGCAGGTGGTGACAGGATCCACACGGCCAAGACAGGCAGACCACACCAAACTCAGCCAGGGGAAGATCAAGGTAAGTTGGGTGGTCTGACTCACCTGCTTCTTCATCCTCAGAGGGCTCTGGAAGAGAAGGATTATTCCCTCTCTATTATAGATGAGCTCAAGGGTGCTCAGCCAATCTGCCCTGATATTAAGCAGCAACAGAATCAGGGCCAGAACCCAGGCTGTATCTCACTGTTCCCCCCTAGTATCCTAGTATAGAAGCATATGAGTTCACCGCTCAGGTGTCAGGTTGCCCAAAACATGGTCAAGTGATCTCAGAGGGAAGGTGGCTGTCATGGGCACCACCTCTTTGGGAAGTGGGTAGAGGAGGGCAGGGCACTCAGAATCCAGCAGTCCTTGTGGTCTTGAGATGTGGAGGCCTGCTGGGGGCAAAGGTTGAGTGTGTATAAGAAAGCCAGCACTTTCTCACCCACACTGTCTCTGTGGGAAAATGAGGTCCTAGGTCAGGAGTGGCTTTCCCAGAGTCTTTGGAAAGTGGCTGAGCAGGTAAAAGGTAGGCTTGTACTCCTTGTCCTCAGCCGGCCTTAGCTCAACCTGGAGGAGATGGAGGGTGAAGTGGGGCTGGTCCTGGGTGTCTGGTGTGAAGGGTGGCCAGAGGGTGGCCCTGAGAAGGTCAAGCTGCAGGCTGCTGCCCCCAGCTCTGCTCACCAGCCTGACTTGGGGGTGTCATGGGAGAACTCCATGTATACAAGCAAAGGCGAACCTAGAACCTGTGATATTCAAATCCCACTTGTTTTGTTTCAGCCTCAGACTCAGGGAGCCAGTGTCGGCCTCCAAATGGCCCACCAAGGCTATATCTGGACGTTGTCCAGGCAACGTCCCTTCTCTGAGCTTCTGCCTTATTACCTAATAGATGGAGTTAGGGTTTGCTCATCTGCTGAGCCCCAGGCAGAAGCTGCCGCACCTCTGGGCTTGGAAGGAAGGCAGTGCTCTGAGAACCAGGGGACAGCAGGTATTGGGAACCCAGATGCCGCAGGAGCCATGGCAAGTGAAGGAGCAGGACGGAAATATTTCACATGGTGGGGAGGCGTTTAAGCAGCCTCAGGAAGCGGTGAGCAGGAGATATCCAGGCCTCCAAGCTGCCTGGAATGAGGGTGCACACAGGGCAGGGGAGCTGGGGGGAGGGAGGCACAGAGCAGGATCTGTAGCAAGGAAGAGAGCAGGTGTGCTAGGTGACAGGCTTGCACTTGACCCTGGGAGTTCATCAAGGATTCCTCAGGAGGCACGTGCAGCTCTCACCCTGTGTTCCTGCCCCAGGAAGGACATCCTGCAGCTCTGGGAGGGAGAAGCCTTTCAGGACACCTCTTGGCAGCTGCAGGCGGAGGGCTAGGGCCCAGCTGGGGACCTCGGATCCTTATCTGGGCTGCACAGTTGTCTAGAAGCAGGGTGGGGCAGGAGCCCTCTGCGCCTCCTCCCAACCCACACCCTCTTCTCTCCCAGCCAGGACTAAGCAAGTCTGTCACTGAGCTGGAAGGAGGACTAGCCTACCTCAGCACTCAGTTGAGACCCAAGAAAAGCTTGGGGAGAGAGAGGGAGAGAGAGACAGAGACAGACAGAGACAGAGACAGAGACAGAGAGACAGAGGTACCAGACAGATACCAGCATGGCAAGGAAGGCTGAGAGGCAGGGAGCAGACACTTCCCAATGTGTGGGGTGGATTGCCCAAGGCCATAGTGTTTTTTTCCTGACCACCCATTTCTACTCTCTGGGTGGGCTCATGTTTCTTGCATCTTATGATCTCAAAATGGTGCCCTGGTGTGGGGTCATGTAGACTGGAGCAGGAATGGAGAGGGAGGGGCTGCAGGCTCTCCTGTTGAACTTGTCTCTATAGCAACAACCTCCCCCCACCCCGAAGTTCCTCAGCAGATCTCCCTAGTCAGCGCTGGGTCACACAATCACTGTATATATAAATATATATATATATGTATATGTATATATGTATATGTATATATATGTATATGTATATATATGTATACGTATATATATGTATATGTATATATACACACATATGTATGTATGTATAACAGATGTATGTATATATGTATGTATCCCACATTTTTTTTATTCACTCATCTGTTCACAGGTACCTAGGCCTATTATTATGATTAGTGCTGAAATAAACATGGATGTTGTCCTGACTTTTATATGTCTAAGAGGGATATCACAGGATTATAGGGTAGCTCTATTTTGGATATTTTGGGGAGCCTCCATACTTATTTACATAGTGACTGCACTGATTCCTTTCCATCTCAACATCCTCACCAATACTGATTGTCATTTGTGTCCTTGATGGTGGCCATTCTGTGCTGAGATGGAATCTCAAAGTTACTCTCTTGTTTTGCTTTGTGATTCCTTCCTGGCTAAGGATGTGGAATATCTCTTCACAGTTACTATCCATTTGTACTTATTTTGAGAACTGTCTGTTCAATTTATTTGTCTACTTATTCCTTGGCTTTTTGGTTCTTTTGGAGTTTTCGTTTTTCCTTATCTCCCTCTATATTTTGGTTATTGATCCATTGTGAAATCAGTAGCTGGCAAAGATTGTCTCCCATTTTGTAGGCTGTCACTTCATTCTAGTAATTCCTTTCTTGGTTGTGTAGAGGCCTTTTAGTTTGATGTGATCCCATTTGTCAATTCTGGCTCTTATTTCCTGAGCTACTGAAGCTCTACTGGGGAAGTTATTGTCTACTATTGTGCTTTTCTAACAGGATTCATGGGAGAAGTAAAGATTAGTCAGGGCCTTCAAAGCTCTTACAATGGTGCCTGTGTGAAGTCGGTGGATGAGATATAGCAGCTTTTCCATGTTTCTTTTTCTTGATTCTGATGCTTTGCTGTTATTTTATTTACTACTATGACAGATAAGGATTTCATTTCTTCTTATATGTTTTCCTTCCTTTCTCTCTTTCTCTTTCTTTCTTTCTCTCTCTCTTTTTCTCCCTCTTTTTTTTTTCTTCAATATGCTGGTCTGTGGGCTTGAACTCAGGACCTAGGCACCAGCCTTTAACTGCTTCTTTGTGCTCAGGGCTAGCATTCTACGACTTGAGCCATAGCTCCACTTCCAGCTTTTTTGGTACTTTAGTGAAGACCAGTCTCACAGACTGTCCTGCCCAGGCTAGCTTCAAACCACAATCTTAGCCTCTTGAATAACTAGGACTATAGGCATGAGCCGTCGGTGCTTGGTGTATATGTTTTTCTAGTACCATAAAATCATAATCTATATATTATTTATGGACTTTGTAATTGTAAATAATATACTTACATCTTTCTAAAATCCTCTACTACATTTACCTTTCTTAATTCATAGTTTTTTTTCATAGTTTTTTATTTAGAATATACTGGTATAGATTAAGACCACGATTGGGACTTGGGGTATAGCTCAGTGATAGAATGCTTATCTAACTTCCATGGAGCCCTGAGTTTGACCCAAGCACCATAAAAATGTATATGTGCATATAGTCATATATGTTCTTTTTTGTTGGATCTAAAAGACCAAGAGGCCTCTGCCTTGGCTGTGCTGAGGGCAGAGGGAGCTGGAACAAGATGACTAACTTTCTTTTTTTTTTTTT